GCTTTCCACAATCGACAGCTCCTTCTATGACCGGCCAGTAACGGCCACCGGCACTGCAGGTAGGCATGGAGAGTAAGTGGACGAAGTACACAGTCATACCTTCCAGTCTTCTGTCCGTGCCTTTCATGGTTGGCTTTCACAGTTGTCCATGCTTGGCTCTCCACAATCCACAGTTCCTTCTATGACCGGCCAGTAACGGCTACCGGCACTACAGCTAGGCATGGAGAGTAAGTGGACGAAGTACACAGTCATACCTTCCAGTCTTCTGTCATCACCTTCATTGGTTGGCTTCCCCAATCGTCCATGGTTGGCTCTCCACAATCGTCAGCTCCCTCTATGACGGGACAGTAACGGCTACCGGCACTACAGCTAGGCATGGAGGGTAAGTGTAGGAAGTACAGAGTCATACCTACCAGTCTTCCGTCCGTGTCTTTCATGGTTGGCTTTCCCAGTCGTCTATGGTTGGCTCTCCACAATCGACAGTTCCTTATATGACCGGCCAGTAACGGCTACCGGCACTACAGCTAGGCATGGAGAGTAAGTGGACGAAGTACACAGTCATACCTTCCAGTCTTCCGTCCGTGCCTTTCATGGTTGGCTTTCCCAGTCGTCCATGGTTGGCTCTCCACAATCGTCAGCTCCCTCTATGACGGGACAGTAACGGCTACAGGCACTGTAGGTAGGCATGGAGGGTAAATGTAGGAAGTACAGAGTCATACCTACCAGTCTTCCCTCCGCGACTTCCATGGTTGGCTCCTCCAATCGTCCATGGTTGGCTTTCCACAATCGACAGCTCCTTCTATGACCGGCCAGTAACGGCCACCGGCACTGCAGGTAGGCATGGAGAGTAAGTGGACGAAGTACACAGTCATACCTTCCAGTCTTCTGTCCGCACCTTCATTGGTTGGCTTCCCCAATCGTCCATGGTTGGCTCTCCACAATCGTCAGCTCCCCTCTATGACCGGTCAGTAACGGCTACCCGCACTACAGCTAGGCAAGGAGAGTAAGTGGCCGAAGTACACAGTCATACCTTCCAGTCTTCCGTCCGTGCCTTTCATGGTTGGCATTCCCAGTCGTCCATGGTTGGCTCTCCACAATCGTCAGCTCCCTCTATGACGGGACAGTAACGGCTACAGGCACTGTAGGTAGGCATGGAGGGTAAGTGTAGGAAGTACAGAGTCATACCTACCAGTCTTCCCTCCGCGCCTTCCATGGTTGGCTCATCCAATCGTCCATGGTTGGCTTTCCACAATCGACAGCTCCTTCTATGACCGGCCAGTAACGGCCACCGGCACTGCAGGTAGGCATGGAGAGTAAGTGAACGAAGTACACAGTCATAACTTCCAGTCTTCTGTCCGCACCATCATTGGTTGGCTTCCCCAATCGTCCATGGTTGGCTCTCCACAATCGTCCGCTCCCCTCTATGATCGGTCAGTAACGGCTACCGGCACTACAGCTAGGCAAGGAGAGTAAGTGGCCGAAGTACACAGTCATACCTTCCAGTCTTCCGTCCGTGCCTTACATGGTTGGCATTCCCAGTCGTCCATGGTTGGCTCTCCACAATCGTCAGTCTCCTCTATGACGGGACAGTAACGGCTACAGGCACTGTAGGTAGGCATGGAGGGTAAGTGTAGGAAGTACAGAGTCTTACCTTCCAGTCTTCCGTCTGCGCCTTCGCTGGTTAGTTTCTCCACTCGTCGACGGTTGGCTCTCCTAAAACGACAGCTCCCTCTTGACCGGCGGGTAACAGCCACAGACACTGTAGGTAGGCATGGAGAAAAAGTGGACGAAGTACAGAGTCATATCTTCCCGTCTTCCGTCTGCGCGTTAGCTGGTTAGCTTCTCAAATCGCCGGTGTTTGGCTCTCCTAAAACGACAGCTCCCTCTTTGACCGGCCGGTAACGGCCACAGGCACTGTCGGTAAGCATGGAGAGTAAGTGGACAAAGTACAGAGTCTTACCTTCCAGTCTTCCGCCCGCGCCTTCGTTGGTTAGTTTCTCCACTCGTCGATTGTTGCCTATCCTAAAACAACAGCTCCCTCTTTGACCGGCCGGTAGCGGCCACAGGCACTGTAGGTAGGCATGGAGAGTAAGTGGACGAAGTACAGAGTCATATCTTCCAGTCTTCCGTCTGCGCCTTCGTTAGTTAGTTTCTCCAATCGCCGGTGGTTGGCTCTCCTCAAACGACAGCTCCCTCTTTGACCGGCCGGTAACTGCCACAGGTACTGTAGGTAGGCATGGAGAGTAAGTGGACGAAGTACAGAGTCTTACGTTCCAGTCTTCCGTCTGCGCCTTCGTTGGTTAGTTTCTCCACTCGTCGATGGTTGCCTCTCCTCAATCGACAGCTCCCTCTTTGACCGGCAGGTAGCGGCCACAGGTACTGTCGGTAAGCATGGAGAGTAAGTGGACGAAGTACAGAGTCTTACCTTCCAGTCTTCCGTCCGCGCCTTCGTTGGTTAGCTTCTCCAATCGTCGATAGTTCGCTCTCCTCAAACGACAGCTCCTTCTTTGACAGGCCGGTAACGGCCACAGGCACTGTAGGTAGGCATGGAGAGTAAGTGGACGAAGTACAGAGTCATATCTTCCAGTCTTCCGTATGCGCGTTCGCTGTTTAGTTTCTCCAATCGCCGATGGTTGGCTCTCCTCAAACGACAGCTCCCTCTTTGACCAGCCGGTGACGGCCACAGGCACTGTAGGTAGGCATAGAGAGTAAATGGACGAAGTACAAAGTCATGCCTTATAGTCTTTCTTCAGCGCGTTCCTTGGATAGCTTCTCCAATCGTCCGGCCGGTAACAGCCACAGGCACTGTTGGTAGGCATGGAGAGTAAGTGGACGATGTGCGTAGTCTTACCTTCCAGTCTTCCGTCTGCGCCTTCGTTGGTTAGCTTCTCCAATCGCCGGTGGTTGGCTCTCCTCATTCGACAGCTCCCTGTTCGACCGGCCGGTAACGGCCACAGGCACTGTAGGTAGGCATGGAGAGTAAGTGGACGAAGTACAGAGTCTGACCTTCCAGTCTTCCCTCTGCGCCTTCGTTGGTTAGTTTCTCGACTCGTCGATGGTTGCCTCTCCTCAATAGACAGCTCCCTCTTTGACCGGCCGGTAACGGCCACAGGTACTGTAGGTAGGCATGGAGAGTAAGTGAACGAAGTACACAGTCATACCTTCCAGTCTTCCGTCCGTGCCTTTCATGGTTGGCATTCCCAGTCGTCCATGGTTGGCTCTCCACAATCGTCAGCTCCCTCTATGACGGGACAGTAACGGCTACAGGCACTGTAGGTAAGCATGGAGGGTAAGTGGGCGAAGTACAGAGTCTGGCCTTCCAGTCTTCCCTCCGCGCCTTCCATGGTTGGCTCATCCAATCGTCCATGGTTGGCTTTCCACAATCGACAGCTCCTTCTATGACCGGCCAGTAACGGCCACCGGCACTGCAGGTAGGCATGGAGAGTAAGTGAACGAAGTACACAGTCATACCTTCCAGTCTTCCGTCCGCGCCTTCGTTGGTTAGCTTCTCCACTCGTCGATGGTTGCCTCTCCTCAATCGACAGCTCCCTCTTTGACCGGCCGGTAGCGGCCACAGGTACTGTCGGTAAGCATGGAGAGTAAGTGGACGAAGTACACAGTCTTACCTTCCAGTCTTCCGTCCGCGCCTTCGTTGGTTAGCTTCTCCAATCGTCGATAGTTGGCTCTCCTCAAACGACAGCTCCTTCTTTGACAGGCCGGTAACGGCCACAGGCACTGTAGGTAGGCATGGAGAGTAAGTGGACGAAGTACAGAGTCATATCTTCCAGTCTTCCGTATGCGCGTTCGCTGTTTAGTTTCTCCAATCGCCGATGGTTGGCTCTCCTCAAACGACAGCTCCCTCTTTGACCGGCCGGTGACGGCCACAGGCACTGTAGGTAGGCATAGAGAGTAAATGGACGAAGTACAAAGTCATGCCTTATAGTCTTTCTTCAGCGCGTTCCTTGGTTAGCTTCTCCAATCGTCCGGCCGTTAACAGCCACAGGCACTGTTGGTAGGCATGGAGAGTAAGTGGACGATGTGCGTAGTCTTACCTTCCAGTCTTCCGTCTGCGCCTTCGTTGGTTAGCTTCTCCAATCGCCGGTGGTTGGCTCTCCTCAATCGACAGCTCCCTGTTCGACCGGCCGGTAACGGCCACAGGCACTGTAGGTAGGCATGGAGAGTAAGTGGACGAAGTACAGAGTCTGACCTTCCAGTCTTCCCTCTGCGCCTTCGTTGGTTAGTTTCTCCACTCGTCGATGGTTGCCTCTCCTCAATCGACAGCTCCCTCTTTGACCGGCCGGTAACGGCCACAGGTACTGTAGGTAGGCATGGAGAGTAAGTGGACGAAGTACGGAGTCTTACCTTCTAGTCTTCCGTCTGCGCCTTCGTTGGTTAGTTTATCCAATCGTCCATAGTTGGCTTTCCTCAAACGACAGCTCCCTCTTTGACCGGCGGGTAACAGCCACAGGCACTGTAGGTAAGCATGGAGAGTAAGTGGACGAAGTACAGTCATATTTTTCCCGTCTTCCGTCTGCGCGTTAGCTGGTTAGCTTCTCATATCGTCCATGGTTGGCTCTCCACAATCGTCAGCTTCCCTCTATGATCGGTCAGTAACGGCTACCGGCACTACAGCTAGGCAAGGAGAGTAAGTGGCCGAAGTACACAGTCATACCTTCCAGTCTTCCGTCCGTGCCTTACATGGTTGGCTTTCCCAGTCGTCCATCGTTGGCTCTCCACAATCGTCAGTCTCCTCTATGACGGGACAGTAACGGCTACAGGCACTGTAGGTAGGCATGGAGGGTAAGTGTAGGAAGTACAGAGTCATATCTTCCCGTCTTCCGTCTGCGCGTTAGCTGGTTAGCTTCTCAAATCGCCGGTGTTTGGCTCTCCTAAAACGACAGCTCCCTCTTTGACCGACCGGTAACGGCCACAGGCACTGTCGGTAAGCATGGAGAGTAAGTGGACAAAGTACAGAGTCTTGCCTTCCAGTCTTCCGTCCGCGCCTTCGTTTGTTAGTTTCTCCACTCGTCGATGGTTGCCTATCCTAAAACGACAGCTCCCTCTTTGACCGGCCGGTAGCGGCCACAGGCACTGTAGGTAGGCATGGAGAGTAAGTGGACGAAGTACAGAGTTATATCTTCCAGTCTTCCGTCTGCGCCTTCGTTAGTTAGTTTCTCCAATCGCCGGTGGTTGGCTCTCCTCAAACGACAGCTCCCTCTTTGACCGGCCGGTAACTGCCACAGGTACTGTAGGTAGGCATGGAGAGTAAGTGGACGAAGTACAGAGTCTTACCTTCCAGTCTTCCGTCTGCGCCTTCGTTGGTTAGTTTCTCCACTCGTCGATGGTTGCCTCTCCTCAATCGACAGCTCCCTCTTTGACCGGCCGGTGGCGGCCACAGGCACTGTAGGTAGGCATAGAGAGTAAATGGACGAAGTACAAAGTCATGCCTTATAGTCTTTCTTCAGCGCGTTCCTTGGTTAGCTTCTCCAATCGTCCGGCCGGTAACTGCCACAGGTACTGTAGGTAGGCATGGAGAGTAAGTGGACGAAGTACAGAGTCATATCTTCCAGTCTTCCGTATGCGCGTTCGCTGTTTAGTTTCTCCAATCGCCGATGGTTGGCTCTCCTCAAACGACAGCTCCCTCTTTGACCGGCCGGTGACGGCCACAGGCACTGTAGGTAGGCATGGAGAGTAAGTGGACGAAGTACAGAGTCTGACCTTCCAGTCTTCCCTCTGCGCCTTCGTTGGTTAGTTTCTCCACTCGTCGATGGTTGCCTCTCCTCAATCGACAGCTCCCTCTTTGACCGGCCGGTAACGGCCACAGGTACTGTAGGTAGGCATGGAGAGTAAGTGAACGAAGTACACAGTCATACCTTCCAGTCTTCCGTCTGCGCCTTCGTTGGTTAGTTTTTCCAATCGTCCCTAGTTGGCTTTCCTCAAACGACAGCTCCCTCTTTGACCGGCGGGTAACAGCCACAGGCACTGTAGGTAAGCATGGAGAGTAAGTGGACGAAGTACAGTCATATCTTTCCCGTCTTCCGTCTGCGCGTTAGCTGGTTAGCTTCTCATATCGTCCATGGTTGGCTCTTCTCAAACGACAGCTCCCTCTTAGACCGGCCGGTAGCGGCCACAGGCACTGTAGGTAGGCATGGAGATTAAGTGGAAGAAGTACAGAGTCATACCTTCCAGTCTTCCGTCCGCGCCTTCGTTGGTTAGCTTCTCCAATCGTCCGTGGTTGGCTCTCCTCAAACGACAGCTCCCTCTTTGGCCGGCCGGTAACGGCCACAGGTACTGTAGTTAGGCATGGAGAGTAAGTGGACGAAGTACAGAGTCTTACCTTCCAGTCTTCCGTCTGCGTCTTCGTTGGTTAGTTTCTCCACTCGTCCATGGTTGCCTCTCCTCAATCGACAGCTCCCTCTTTGACCGGCCGGTAACGGCCACAGGTACTGTAGGTACGCATGGAGAGTAAGTGGACGAAGTACAGAGTCTTACCTTCCAGTCTTCCGTCCGCGCCTTCGTTGGTTAGCTTCTCCACTCGTCGATGGTTGCCTATCCTAAAACGACAGCTCCCTCTTTGACCGGCCGGTAACGGCTACAGGCACTGTAGGTAGGCATGGAGAGCATGTGGACGAAGTACAGAGTCACACCTTCCAGTCTTCGTCTGCGCGCTCGTTGGTTAGCTTATCCTATTGGCGTTTGTAGGCTTTCCTCAATCGCCAGCTTTCCCATCGTCAGTAGGTAACGGCTGCAATCGCAGTAGGTAGGCTTGACGCCGTTTGTTACGCCTACTAACAGGAGTAGATATAACTGTGCGTAAAAGGAGACACAAGCGAACACAAAAACAAAGACAGTTAGGGTAGGCATTGTCAGCGTAGAGCGAGACACGACGTGTGCTGTGCAGCATGAGAGAGCAAAAAGTGGCACCGGCAAGAGGCAGAGGACTGTCGGGCACCAAGCCAATCGATAATCAAGTGCAACTATGCGCGGCCGCTTGCGCCCTTGGCGACGCCGACGCAGCCGACCCGGGAACCAATCCAAACCGCGAGCAGGCTCCAGACCCACTACCCTCTCCCCCCCCAAGTACACCGGCTTGCGGCGAGCTCGCTTGCTATTAGGGTTCCCCCTTAATCTGCTCCAGTTGGCCTCTATGGCGTTCGTATGCCGTCCCGTTGTGGGATTCACGAAGCCCCTACGGCGGTTCACAGTGCAGTGCCTACAACCTTCGGACGGTAGGCGGGTGCAACCTTTCCACTCATCGGTTACGATAACACTACCAGTAGCCACCCACTTCCTTATGACGGGCCTCATGGACTCCCAGCTGCGGTTGTTAATCTGTTCAAATAGGGCTTTCCGCCTGCGTGTATCGTACATATATGACCCACAACTGCCGCCGCGGTCGTCCCCTGTTTTATTTGCCGCGACTTATGAGCGTCTCGTCTATCTGTACTTCCACGCCTGGTCCCCCAATTTGGGTTACGGCGGATAAATTTAAACTTAAAAGGGTTACCTAGGCCTACAAGCTGTTCTCACCATGGATACTTGCAAATCCCGTAAAACAGCGACCGCCAAGGTCGGGAGTTTGCCGACTTGCTGTAGGTTGGTGCGGTGGTGTTGGAGTACGTCCAGGTATCTTAAACATTGTTCACGTTATGCGTACTAAACGGTGCATGCCGTGGAGATCACCGATATAACAAATAGGGAGGGGTTGAGGAGGAGGTCAGTAAGGGGCCGGGTGGTGATGCAATTGTCATAAGCATGTCATACAAATACTCTTACCCAACCGCAGTACACCGCTGACAGCCCGCGTTCCCTTTGTGCATCGTACGCATCGTTCCTATCTAACGCACACCACTTTCAAGTGCGGCGCCGATGATCCCATTGGTTAGCCTCTTGGCGGTTCAGGTTTACTCGCCCCGGCGGCCAATCACATCACGTCCCCGGCCAGCCCTCATTTGATTGGTCATTGCCTACGGTTTTCCCTATTTGCGCGCCCTCCTCCCCCTATTTTTGACTTCATTAAAACAAAAATTTATTTTCCTTCGATTTTCAACATTTTTCGGCTTCTATCTGCCAATTTAGTGTCCTTTGCCGTTTGCCCCGCCCGTTCTTCCCCTCAAAACCGCCATCCCGTTGTACCCGACCCACCTAGTGAGGATTTCTCACTGTGGCTGCCTGTTGGGCTTCTGCCTGAAAGCACTGCATAATTCGCGTAAGAGGAGGGTAAAAAGGCAAAAATGTAATTGAACTAAGAGTGATCATTAAAGTGTCAGTGTATGCTAGGTGTGTTCACGTCTCACAGTGTCTATATCTGCGGTCTACTTCAACGTCCAGAACTGACAATCTAGTACTAAACTAAAAAGTTGCCAAAAATAATATCATTTCTCAGAAACTTTTGTTGGGCACAGTCAAGAGTTTACTGATTTTACGAGTAGCCCATACATACGACGACAAGTTGGATGACTATTTTTGTGTGTTTCCACAATAATGACACTTCCGAGCAAATCATATAGGACGTCTATTTAGGGCGACATACACGAATATATTGCATAATCCGACACAATGACAGCACTAGTAATTGCTAAATGCATGTGTATTGGCGACCTTTGCCAGCTGCATGACGCGTATGCGGGAAGTTCGACATACTGGCATCACCCAGCGTTGACTAATGATGTTATCATATATGCTACACTTTTAAAATCCTAGCTTTTTAATCCTGATAGAAATGAGAGCGCCGAATTGGAACAAATCCTTCGGGATAAACCTTTTTGGTGGCTCGCAATAAACGTCCTATCTGTTGCAGTGCAATTGTACTAATGCCACTTAGATATGAGAAATTCTCATATCCTCTTACGAAATCGAAATATTGATTTTTTTATACACACTAGCGGACCATTCAGAAATCCAGTGTCATTTATGTCAGATGCTACGTACAAATGTACACAGATTGACGTAAGTAAATCGACAGATTACTAGCTATACGCAGCTATCATTGCATAAAGAAGCGAATTCGAGTATATATTACAACATAATTGCGCGTTTGCACACGCAAACATAAGCGTCAAAAATTTTCCTGAGTTCACTAATAAGAATGCATGAATAATTATGCATGATTTCACGGAAATTCCAAAGAATAAGGAGATCCCAAAAAGAAAACGCAAAACGTACGGTTGAAGCATCTCCCGATCAGTGGGAAAACAATAAGCAAAGCAGCCAACTGAGCGCTTGTCATCGGATAGACTGAGAATGGCAGCTGGAGTGCATATTTATACCACAGAAATGGTGCCTGTGCGATGATTGGATAACGCTTAATCTTTGAAAGGTAATTGGATTTGTAAGTGTTTTCCACATATGACGACACATAGGAATATGGCCTTCCAAAAGTTACCTAGCAATTGTTGTTCCGCCCCATAAGCGCTTGATATGGCTCTGATTACATTTCATAAAACTGAAAGTTCTTAAAGTAGATAGATAGCATATTATTTAGACTTCTAGCAATAGTGGTAATAATTAGATGTCAAGACAAGTATTTCGCTCACCGACCGTTCTTATGATACTTACTCGTTCGGTTATTCCTGATGGGCTCTTTCCCGAGCCCAACCAGCAGCGGCACAGCGGCGCATGATGTAGGTAGAATGTTATTACCGACAAAGGCATAACTGCTTGGTATAGCTTTGAGTACATTCCATGAAATCGAAGTTCTCATAGTAGATATATTGTGCATCATTTAACCTTCCGGCAACACCGGTATTAAAAAAGGATGCCAAGACAAGTGTTTCACCGATATTTTGCCTCTGC